CTAGTGCGGTACCCGTGCGATGCACAAGCTAGTTTTATTAAGGTAAGCAGTTAAATTTGGATGATTGGAAGAACGTAAAATACATATATTGAAATGAAACACAATGTAACGTTATATATTATTAAACACATCATTGTACATAAAATTATTTGTTTGGTCTTTTGGTACATCGTCTATCGCCACAAATTATATTAAGATTGTAGATAGTCTTAAATAAATCGACTAAACTATTTAGCAGAATATATACGATATTTTGTAATTGTATGAAATCATTATTTATTTTGTAAGTGTATTCAATCAATTTCAAATTTGTATTCTAGATAATTAAACAAAACCCAAATTTTTAAGATGTTACAATCCGATTTCATTTTGAATTTCAAATTAATATTATATGACTTTGTTTTATGTTTAAAAAAAGTCCGAATTAAAGAAAGTAGTAATCAAATAATAAAATATTTTTAAATTTTAATTTGAAATTTGTCCCGATTTTTATGTAATCCAATTTTTTTAATAAACATGATTTGCTATAATTAGGTAAAGATACATGTTATAGTGTTTTGTCTAATTCAAACTTCTTGATTGTATGGTAAACAAATTTAAAAAAAAATGAAAGAATTTTGACTTTTACAAAATTGTCATGCCGGCTATGCAATTCGATTTTTATAATAAATAATTGATTTGTTGCAATTAGTAAAAAATATATGTGATAGTATTTTGCCTAATTCGAAATTTTGATTTTATTTTAGTAAGTTTTTTTAATAAAAATAGAGAAAGAAAATTGACTTTTGCATCAGTCGAAATTTACCTAAATTAAATCCACAAAATATATAAATTTAGGGTGCATATTAAAAAAAATAAAATTGTTGTACCATTTCAAGATTAAATCAACCGTAATTAGTTTATTTAAAATATAATAGTTTTCAAACAAAACACTTTAGTTGGCCAAGAATTTATGATATGTAATATTGTTTCTTTGTAGCACGATTTTTTAAAAGAAAATAAAACCATAATTTTAGGATAGCGTTTAATGCTGATTTTTTTGAAAAAAAAAAGAAGTTACTAAGTATGGAATGTAATTAATGCTAATTGAGATTTGACCAGAATTTGACCTACTATTTTTAAAAAATGTTAATTCTTTTTTTATAGATATATAGATTTATTTTTTAATCTATATACCAATCTTTACAAAAATAAGTAAATTGTATCTAATATATAAAAAGTATTATATATTTTAAAATACCAATAAATTATTAACTTAAAAATTAAGTTAACGATATTTATGAAATATTTTATATATTTTAAAATATAAATAAATTAAATAACGGTCCAATCGATTCAACCACTGGTCGGACCAGTGAACCATTGAACCAGTAGCTTGACCGGTTCGATGATCGGTCCATTTTTCATAACAATGCTTTTTGTTTACCATAGTTTATAAAAAATGAAAGGAGGTCATTTGTACGAAAAAGAATTGACTAGGTAATTTAAACGAAGATCCCGCAAGGTTTATAGTCTATCCCAAAAAAATTCTGGCCGGCATATTTTCGTTCCCTCATGAGGATGAGAGCCGCGTTTAGATTCTCCATCTCGCCGCCACAGCTGAAACACCACCGTGGCCGCTTCTTCTCCGCCGCATCCACCGGCAGCTACTCTCCACTCATCAACCACCGTTACTGGTCCGGCCTCCCTTGCTGGCGGCGCAGCCCAATCAACAACGAGCGCTACTGGGGCCCTAATGGCCCAATTCAGGAGCCTAGCGAAACACAAGTCATACCAGCTGATATTGGCTCTTGCTCTTCATTAGCAGAAATGGGTAGTGTTGTTCTCTCCACTGCGGATCCTCTCGCGAAAGCTAAGCTCTCGCACTTGGCCTATTCGAAATGGCGCCGAGAGGGTCTGCCTGTTGGAGTTTCCGATGCTCCTTCTAGTCCCGCCCGCCCCTGCAAACCCCAATTGGTACTTGTTTCTATTTTTTTAATTTGTATGAATTTATTCGAATTATTAGCTTTGTGTGTTGTTTCTGGGATTTGTATGTTTTTTTTAGTTGTTCGTGGTGGTAAATTGTTAAATCATTATTTTGGTCCAGTAGTGTGTTTGTTGGCTTCTATTGACTGTTAAATCTTTTCAGAGTTATCTTAGTTCAGTGGCTTCCGTGCTTAGTTCTGTTTCTTGAAGATACTTTGAAACATCAAGAGAAGTTTGTTTACTATTTCAACATCTGTTGCGGATTGGATAAATTTGGAGCGTTTCCTCAGATTCCTCCATGGCTTCAATTTCTAAGAGGATATAATTTGAGGAATATGGCTCAATTAAATTCTAGTGCTTCTTCTATTAGTAAAGTTTCTAGAAAAAAAAAATATATCAAACGTCGCAATGCACCTTGGGTCGCTACGGAAACGGCCTTCTTGTATAATTACAAGGGTAAGGTCTGCGTACAACTGACGCCCAGACCCCAACCAGTTGGAAATATACTGGGTATGTTGTTATGGATTAATTTGCTAGTTTATTATCTCATTTTCATTTTCTTTCTTGATGTGAGCGGTGAATATGGACACCTGATAATTTAATTTCTCTCTTCTGTGTTTTCCTAGAAAGGATGAGGATTGGCATAAGTTTATCTTTATTTTTTGTTCATTTATCTTGTAAAATGAACTGGAGGAGAAATTCAGGTAAAAATTTTGATCTTATTTTGATTGATTCTACTTATGAGTGCTTTTGATCTGTGGTTGATAGCTTTTCGCTTAATAGTTTCTATTTTGTAAGTATTTACACTCATTAGTTTCATCCACTTACGGTCACCCTTCAGTTCAGGTTTCCCCTAAGGAAATCCCATCTCCAAAGAATTCCGGCTTGCCTCTAAATGCCTACATGCTTCATAATCTGGCCCACGTGGAGCTTAATGCAATTGATCTAGCCTGGGATACTGTTGTTCGGTTTTCTCCGCACACTGAGCTTCTTGGCGAAGAGTTCTTTGCTGATTTTGCTCATGTAGCTGATGATGAAAGTCGCCATTTTACTTGGTGTTCACAGAGACTCGGGGAGCTTGGGTTCAGGTATGTATAATATATAGAGCTTGAACCTGAGCATTTAGCAGATTGATTATCATTCTCGTTGACCATCGATGTAAAGTTTTCTTTTTTCCTTTTTCTGTACATGTAGATATGGTGACATGCCGGCTCATAGTTTCCTATGGAGGGAGTGTGAGAAGTCATCGGACAATGTTTCTGCCCGGCTTGCCGTTATACCATTGGTTCAGGTGTTGTTCCCGCGATTTTAACTGTAATGTTGGCATTTGTAACAAAGTTAATTATTCTAATTAGTACTTTTCTCCTCTCCCCCTCAAATTGATCATTTGGACAGTTCGTTGTTCGTCCAATGTCTTTCTATTTTTCTTCTAAACAATTGAAAGTTCAATATTTCTCAAGAAGCCAATAACGTGTGAGGTTTTTTACCAATTCATGGTGCAAGTAAATATTACGAGTTTTACATGCAGCTCAAGATAATTCATTTTTTATTTCCATTTAATGGGGCGGATGTTTCTAAAGCAACAATCTTTAACTTTTGCTATCACCCCTTCAAGGAATTAAAATAAATAAAAAGGCTTTGCTAACACCAATACTCATACTGTACATTTTACCGTGCTTCTGATATGTTATGTCTTTGTCGATCATATTCTAATCTTTGTTTGGTAGTGAACACTATTTTTCCTGCTTTTATTTGTTGTACTATAGGAGGCTAGAGGACTGGATGCCGGACCTCGGCTGGTCAACAAGCTGATCGGCTTTGGAGATCAAAGGACATCAAACATTGTAGCTAAGATAGCTGATGAAGAAGTAGCACATGTGGCGGTTGGTGTTTACTGGTTTGTATCGGTTTGCCAGAAAATGGGTCGAGAGCCTGATTCTACATTCAGAGGCAATTATTTCCCCATTTTTTATGTTGTGACAAGTTCGCAATAACTTTCAGTTACATTTTATTATCATCAAAATTTACCTTCCATAATCAACAGATATACTGAAAGAGTATAAAGTGGAGCTTAAAGGTCCTTTCAACTATTCTGCTCGAGCGGAAGCTGGTATTCCACGGGATTGGTGAGATTTGTACTTGGATTATATTTTTGTTCGACTTTTGGGGATAAAATTCACGTGATTGTTAAAGGTAGGACCAACAACTGGGACTCTTTTTGTATTGTTTTGTAGGTATGATAATTCCACGTCCACAGCTAGGCAAGAAAACAACCTTTCTGAGGTATTTTAGTTTACTCGGATTGAATTGTCTTTTAGCATTTGCTTTCTCCATCCAAAAATTTAAGGGAGGTGTTGTAGATGACATATCCATTTATTGTACTTCAAAATAGTGTTTGTAATTCGGAGCTTTCAGAATTATTGTCTGACTAAGATGTTTGTTTTGAAAATGCAAAGGTTCCATTTTATGGAACGGATATTTGGAGATGTACGTTTGTTTTTGGAGTGCCCTTTATCTTACCCCATTTTTGTTGCTTTGCCTTCAACTAGCCTCTCCCTACGGTCGATTGTTACGTATGTTATGAGTCGTATCTCTCATCATTTTAACGATGTTTATTGAAAACGTGATTGAAGGTATACGACAGACTTGCATGCATTGTTGCTATGGAACAAGAAAATTCAAGTATGGGAAAGTCGACCTAAATGATTGTTATGCAGTTGAAATGCATTGCTCTAAGGAGGATCGATGTTATAGCCAATATTTACCTCCCAAGACTTCTGCAGCTGATTGAGAGCAATCAACTCAGTGAGGTTCTTCGCGTATTCCGGTGCTCATCTTACAATTTAGGATTTTGCAGTAGAATGTAGTCGCATGATTTGAAAATGTCTTGCCCATAGGAAAATCTGTAGCATAAAGTTTAGCGCAATAAGATCTATTGGATTGAGTTAATTTTGTAATTAGGTCCATGCATTTGCTTACCTTTGCCAGTTGATCTATAGAAGCATGTTTTTTTTTTTTTTTTACTTACCTTGTGAGTGTTATTGTGCTTTCATGATTCATCTACTCAACTTTGCTTGTTAACATCTGAGTTGTGTATCCACGTTAAGAAAATTTATGCTTCAATTTACACATATATTATTATATTGGAAATGACATCCTTGGAGTTGCATAAAGAATGACTAAAAATGTCCCGACTCGTTTAAACACGGTGGAAGCGGTAAATTATTTTGGAAGCTAAACGAACAAACCCTATGAAACTTTGACATTTAATATTTATTAGTACAACACCTATTTATATGGGTGCTTGTTAATTTTTTTTTTTTAAATTTAAAATTAATGAGAAAAAGTAGTTTAAAATTTAAATACTTTATATATATATATATATTATTTTAAAATGATAATTGTACTTGTGCGACTTACATGTGTTATATTATAATAATTTTTCTAGCTTATAACATATAACTAAATTAAACATGAATATATTAATTGAGAAATAATTTATTTTTTAATTAATTTTAATAAATATTTATTTATTATTGTAAAGATAAATACAATTTATTTATTTTATATATACAATATGGATGTCAAATCAAAGTTCATCAAAAGATGATTAAATTTGATACATTATATATGTAAAACCGATAAAAAATACAAAAGTTATCAACTTTTAAAATACATTTATACAATAGTTATAATAAGAAATGATATTAAAATACAATTAATAAATCTAAAATGATCATAAGTAAATCAACATATTTATGGTAATCCGAACCTAATTAGTTTTGGATTGAAATTAAATTAAAACCTATCCAAGCCAAATAACAAAACATAGAATTTTGACACCTAGGATTCTGAAGCATGCGAGCCTGCCACTTAGGCTCAACACATTCGAAAATTATATATAGGGTGGATTTCTCGTGCATCACCCAAACTATGTATTATTTATGAATAAATTACAATATGTTCGTTATTCATACTCCTTCCTATTCATAATAAGTGTCACTTTGAGAAGTTGCACAGTTATTAAGAATATTTTTTGCCAATAATAACCCTCATTAATGAGGATAAAGATGAACGTTTTGAGAAAAAATGAAGAGTGAATATGAAAAGACGTAGTGTATTTATCAGCTATATGAGGGTAATAGTAGAAAAATATGTATAAAATATCCAAAATGACATTTAATTTGTTAGTAGTTGATAATGCCAAAATGACATTTAAAAATAATAGGAGGTAGTAATTTTTTTTTTTTTTTTTTTTTTTTTCCTCCACATTCATTGAATCATTATTCTCCACATGGTAAAAAATAACTAGTACAGATCCCGTGCGATGCACGAGGTGCACAAAATTAAGGTCATTTATCAATTCTTATAATTATATAAATGAATAAAGAAAAATATACGGGATATATATAGTGCGTGACCTGTAATAGGCCAAAATGTAAACACTGGTGATGCACGAGATGCACAATTTTAAGGTCATTTATTAGTGCAGAGTCGGTGCGATGCACGGGGTGCACAATTTTCTAGTATGTGTAATACAAATACATACCGTATGCACGGGACAAAAGCACTAAATGAGTTATTTCCACAGAGCTTGCCCATTAAGTAGCTCCTGAACACGGGTGCATAATTTGTAGTACGTACTATAAAATCAGAATAGATTTCCATACAATCAGATAATAAATAAAGCTTTTTTTTATTTTGGTAAATATTTTACGTACTTTTTTTTACTTATCGGATGTTATTGAATTTTTTTTGTTAAACCGATTTTATGGGATATAATACAAATACAATTAGAGGATTGAACAAAATCAGAACAGATTTATATACAATTAGATAATAAGAAGGAATTAGATGAGAAAAAGAATAAATTAGATAATGAATTTTGAATCTACCTTTTTTTTAGTATAGATAGACTTTACGTACAAATTTAGACTTCACCGATTTTATGAGATTTGTTTTGACAAAGTCAATGATGCACACTGAAGATTGTTTCTATTAACATTTACACTGTGTATTTAATATTTTTTTTTTGCAAAATATTTTTTTTAAGTGTGATATATAAATATTAAAAATACTTAAAATATTTTGTAACATCTATAAAAGGTTCACCTGAAAATCCTTAACCCTTCCAAAGACTCTGACGAAGAAGTAAATGACTTATTCAAAGGATTGAGAACTAAATCTCATCGAGTCTTTTGTCTAACTGGTGGGGGGTTAGGGCGAGGCAAGTACTGGCACAAGAATTCAATTTTTTTTATTCTTCTTCCTTGTCTATAAAAATCTAAATTTTGATGCCTAATACCCAAAAATAGTCCCTTCCTTCCCACGCCCCTTCTTTCTTTAAGACTTTCTATCGGAACTTTCATATTCTATATTATTCACAAATAATGTTTGAAGCTACCTAAATTTTTCTAAACTACCTGTAAGAAAAATATGTATAAAAATTATTCATTTAACCTCCATATATGTATATATAGAGAGAGAGCAAATGTGTAAAAAAATTTGTACAAATAATATTTAAAAGTATCTGAAATATTAGTAATTAGACAGGCGAAATTTAGATTTTTAAAAAATCTATATAGATAATAGATTCATAGTAGTAATTAGACTTTTATGTATTTACCTTTAAAGTTGTTAAGATAGAGGGATGTGATTTTTTTGACTCGTGAAGATGGAATTTTATAAGCTGGGTTATGAAATTTTTCTTTAACTCATCCATATCTATGCGATGAGTTTTTTAAGCTGGGTATATAGATTTAAAATTGTAAAAAAAAAAAAAAAAATTTCATAAATCATTTGATTTGGTATTTTCGGAGAGCTTAATTAATTTAAAAGTGTAAAATAAATAAATAAATAAAGTACAACTGAAAAAGTTATAACCAATTGTATGGAGAATTAAACTAAATCCAATTTTGTAGGATGCATTAAATATTGATTAGATTTTATATGTAAAATAAAATAAAAAAATAATTGGAATAGTTTTACGTGTTGCAATATTTTTTATTTAAAAAAATTAAAAAATCTTCTTTTACGTATTGCATACCAACATTTTAGAAAATACATGGATATTCTTAAATTAATATTACATACCCAATATTTTAGGAAGTAATTAAATGCTAATTTGATTTGCATACCAAAAATATTAGATGCATTAATTAAATGCTTAATAAAAATAGCAAATCATTAATTATGATTGACTATTCTACATACTACATTTAGTAAATAGTATAACTTTTAATATAAGTATAGATATTAAATGGAAAATAATCAAATACCATCTATTGACCAAATCAATTAACTCATTTAAATAAATAATTTAAAGGGAAATGTGATAGTAGAAATATGACATATATATGCATTTGGAAAGGAAAAAAACTATAATCCCAAAATATCATGTTAAAACTTAAAATCACCAAAATTAATAATTTTTAGGTTTGAAGTAATTTTTAAAATATTTTGGTTAATTAATAACTAACAGTGAAACATTTTAATTGAAAATAAAAAAAATCTATTTTCTTGTAGATTTACTTTTATGTTGCATGCATCATCAAGTCAAATTGTCAAAACTAGAGCAGGTCGTCACCTTTATAAGGCCCTGGGCATAAAGTGATAAATGTTGGTTTTGGTTGTTTTCATTTTTCTTAAGTTATAAATAAAAAAATGTAACTAGCCATGTTAAAAACAGTGAAATATTAAATAAAAATATAGCCAAATTTTATAAAATTGGAAACTTTCTAAGAATCACAAATGAAAAGAAAAGAAAAATCATTTATTCAAACAAAAAAAAATAAGTAGTCAAAGCTACAAAGTTTCTTTTACTTAAATATATGACTTACGTTTAGTGAAGTACATAATACTCAGTCTTAATTATATAGATATTTTTGGAAAGTATTAATTTTTATTTAATATTTAACAAAGTTAAATTGCAAATATAAATTGAAACTCGTCTGAAAATGAATTTGACTTTACTTAACTCTTTTATTGACCATCACTAACATAATTAAATTCTGTACTTAAAATAACATTTTACATATTCAAGCAAGAAAAGAAAACTAACAAAGCATTAAAAGAATAATATTTAAAAAGTCATTTCACTAATAATAACTACCATTTAATTTTGTCATGAAATTTATAAGGTGAATAAAATATTAAAAAAAAAAACTTGTGTAAAGGATAAAAAATTAAGAATTTACAATTAATTTTGTTTTCAATATTTTATAATATAACATACATATATATACTAAAAACAGGGACGGAGCTAGGATTTAAAATTACCTGGGGCTAATGAAATTGTTAGAAAAAGAGTTAGTAAAGATGCTCTTGCCCTTTTGCCCACTTGTCCACATGATGACCGCCCAATTCCACATGCAATTGTGAATAAAATATATATATATTATATTGGATAGTTGGGGCGGCTAGCCACACAACTTGTACAGAAAAATTTGTTTATATGTATTAAAAATTGCAATTTGAATTGCAATTGGCCAATTTGAGGCATAAGCTTTCACTATAAATAGAGGGCCTCAGTAGAAGGAAAGAACGCACCAAGAAGAGAGAAAAGAAAGAGAAAGAGAAAGGAAAGAAAAGATAGATTTATGTCCAAATATCGGATATAAAAAAATATCAAAAGAGAGAAACAAGTGATATTTTTATTTGTTTTAAGATATTCATTTTATTTTTAAGTGCTCAATTTTCGACT